CTGCACGGGATAGCATACACACAGTCTTTAGTCATGTTCTCCTCTATGGGGAGGGGTCTTACTTGGGAGAGATATCTGCAAAGTGTCATCAAGCTTTTGAAGGTTGTCCTGATGTTATATGGACTACAGATCCTTTGTATTTTCTCTGATAACCCCTTCACATAAGGCAGGCAGACTGTTTTCTGAGTGTTGTTGTCTTCCTCTTGTACCTGCCTATCCCAGTTTTTTGGGGCTGCTGCCTTGAACCCAGGGTAGTTGTTGCGTTATAGGGTACTATTTATACTGACCAATTCTTTATCTAATGTCTCTGGGTTGACACTTATGACTTTTGCATGGTGTTGTAAGCAGCGGACGATCCCTTTCTTTACGCTGTATGGATGGTGGAAGTGGAAATTGAGGTACTGTCCGGTGAATGTCGGTTTACGGTATACGGATGTCTTGAACCCATGCTCTGTTCGAGATATTAGAACATTCAGGAATGGGAGTGTGTTGTTATTCTCTTTCTCCATTGTGAACTGTATCGAAGGTCTTATTGAGCTCATGTGGTCCAGTAGAACCTGAACATCTTCCTGGTGTGGCCAGAGTATGAAGATGTCATCTACGTACCTTAACCATCTAGTTGGCTTTAAAGATATAGATTCTAATGCCATTTCCTCAAAGTATTCCATGTATATATTCACCATTGCTGGCGATAATGGCAAGCCCATTGCTAAGCCCTCATCCTGTCGGTATATGTGTGATCCCATTCTGAAGTGTGTTGTTTGTGTACAGAAAGTCAACATCTCCATCAGATTATCTATTGGAATACTGGTCCGTTCTTCTAGAGATGAGTCAGAGGCTAATCTGTCTCTGACTACTGAGAGTGCCTCCTCCATGGGTACCTTGGTGAACGAACCATCTGGTTGGATAGGATGGGAGCATCTTTGATTATTTCCATGAAGTGGGAGGAGTTTCGGACATATGAAGGAGACTTTTCGATCAATGGGTCAATTATATCTACAAGGAAGCAACTCGGAGGGTGGCACACAGAGCCTTGGCAACCAACAATCGGCCTGAGCAGAATACCATCTTGTAAATCTTAGGGAAACCGTATGTGTGATAACTTCCTATACGTCTTAGGTGCGAAGTGATCCTTATTCTTGATTAGTATCTGTGACAGTTTGCGTTCCGTTTTCATTGTAGGATCCTTTTTTACTTTGCTGTAGCTACTATTGCTAATGACATCTTCCAGCTTTCTTGTATAATCTGATTTGTCCATCACTACAGTCACATTGCCTTTGTTAGCTGGTAGTATGATGATGTTTTCGTTCCTCTGTAGGGATCCAATCGCCAGCCTCTCCAGTTTTGTTGTTAGACCTGGGCGGCTTGGCCTTCTCCAAGGTCTGTCTCACCTTCCACCTCAGTTCATCCGCCTGAGCCTGAGGGATGTTCAAGGCCACCTCCTTGACTCTGGCAATGATGTCCAAGTATGGCACTTGCCTGACGGTTGTAGTGAAGTTGAGACCCTTATTTAATACTGACTCCTCAGAGGCACTCACCTGATATTGGCTGATGTTGACTACTGCTTTCACTGGTGGGTGATGGACTTTGTGCATCACCTGATCTTTCAATCTATTTTAATTTTTATACTTGGCAAGCCTTGACTACATCGAATTCATGTCTGAAGGATTTATCCAGGTAATTTTGGATCCTTCTCTGGTCTTCTTCTGCCTAAATATGTTGGACACTATTGTAAGTGGGGGTAATATGATGTCTTAGTAGTCCACCACTAGCAGTGGTTTACCTACCTCAAACTGCTGGCAATTATTGTATTTTGCTAATGTTATAAAGATTGCCATTTCATTTCCAATCTTCGTTTTGGTTATTCCTCATTCAGTAACTCTTTCTTGGTAACAAGTATATATTATGACTAGATTATAATATGATTGCTGAGGGTTATAAAATGTTATCTGAATAAAAAGTAGTGCTGAACTAAGTTGAGGTACAAGAAAATTTAAATCAAAATATATAAAAAAAATTTGTTACATGTACAATATTATAATGGATATGATGATATAACAAAGAAAAAAAGCTAATGTTGGCTAGTTATGTGTTTGTAAGTATTTCTAACAGTTTTGTTTTTAAGTTTAATACTATGCCTTGTATTCTTATTAGATTCTTTATAAAATTTTATTCTTTCATTGACATCAGCTCGTTTGTGTCATGAATACTTTTGTGATTGTTAAATGTTTAATTTAGATTGTTTTTCATGTTGATCTTTGATCTTTGTTATTGACTTGGGGGAAAATTGTTAGGTCACAACATAGTAGGAACTGGACAATTTCTTTGTACATATAACTATCTTATTATATAATGTGTTAAAATCTGTGGTTTTACAATATATGTAAAAAAAAAAAAAAGGAAACCTACACTTACATGCACACACCCACACACACAATTATATTGGCCAACTCTGCCTTTATTATAGGCCTGTTCTATAAACATATTTTGTTACCAGAAGAAAAATTTCAACTTACCTAAAATCTCTTTTTCTATATAGACAGTATCCCTTCAGGACATGGGCGATCATGGTTTTCCATAACCTCCTGCTAATTGCTACTCTCAACATTTTTATAACCCCCTTTATAACCCCCTTTATCTTTGTAGTATTTGTTCCTCCATTTAATTGTTCAAGTAGATTACCTGTTGCTTTCCTCTGATTCTCTTGCCTTCAATGTGTCCTGTGAGTGTTAAATTCTCTTATGCTTCATTCCTTGTTACTTTATTATGGCTCATTGTTGTTTAATTTAGGGAATTTCCTTTTAATCATAAGAAACAAACTATTAATTATCGTAATCTTGTTTGTATAAGATGCAGGGTTTCTTGTTTTTTTTTTTTTTGTTTTTTTTTTTTTCATCCAAAATTATGTCCAAAAATCTGCTGCATCTTATACTTTAGTTTAGAACTCAATACCATTTTTTCCAGGACTCAAAACAGTCAAAATCATGTCAAATTGGATTTATTTGTTTACCAAAGAGATAATATCAATCTAATGGCATATTGCAACAAAGAGAAATCTTTCATAATGTTTCTCTTCACACTTCTCTCATGTCTTTTGAACAGGAGTAGAGATTTGTCCCTTGTTTCATGTTTATGATTGAATTTCCAGTTCCTTCTAAAGTCTTTTAATTCTCTTTCATGCCCAGTAGCCCCTTGTATATTATTGGCATTATCGCCATGCTTAGAGTGAATTAAGTGAAAAAAAACAAAAAAAAAACGTCCCATATGGTTAAATACTTCTTCTGGATTTTGTTGAGTCTAGACACCTACATGTATTTGGAAATCATTCAAAGGTAAAAATATTATTTAATTTATGATAAAAAAAAAAATAAAAATCATCAAAGACGATTTTTATTGAAATTCAATTAATGATTGTTTCATAATAAACAACTTCATCAAGTTTTACAAACAACCAATTACCAATGTTTTTGTAATGCTTACAAACCACAAAAATGAACAAAATGTCCTGGTTTTGTGTGTGTGTGTTCACTTTTTCTCAAATTTTGGTCATTTTTTGCTCTAAAATCTGATGTGCTTTATACATGAAAATAAGCTTTTTCTCTGAAATTTCTTATACTCCTTAGCAATCTATACACAAAGGATTATGTTATTATACCTCTATATTGCAATATTTGCAACTAACAAGAGGTAATTCTTGTACACTTCCAGAAAACAATTTTAAGACCTGAAATGATTTGATATTTTGATGAGTTTTGCTGAAACTGTAATTTATGATAATGTTTTGATTGGTAAATTTTCAGTTTTTATCAGAAAGTATATGAAATAGCTAGATCTTCAAAAATTTAAATGCAATATCAATTACCATCTTCTGTCTTCCTGAAACCTGTTCTTTTATTGTCCTTTCTCCTCACTAAAGTCTTTTCATTCTCTTCCACTCCCAGCAATTCCTTGTGTCTTAATGGCAATATTGTCTTGTTTTAAGAATGGTGCTGATGTATTTATGTTATTCAATACCTTTTTCTTTTTTTCTTAAATTACCAGGAATTGTGAATGTAGCTAAAGCTTTTTGGCAGCATTATATTAGAAAGAAAATATTTACAAAGAAAAAAAAAACAACATTTCATTGCATCATTAAAGTTATAATAAAAGTGGGTGATCATAGCTCTCCACAATTTCCTGTCATTTGTAGCTCTTAATAAAGCTTGTCTTTTTGCTATCTTTCCTAATCTCTGTTCTGCCAACCATTTACACAAGCGCATTAGGTTATTCACTGCCTTTCCTCTATCTCTCCTGCCTTGAATATATCCTGTGATTGTCACAGTTTCTAAGCCTGCTTTCTTCTCTCTCTTTCTGATGCTAAGTGTCCTTTTGTTTCCATTTTCTCTAACAGTCATTGCTCACATGTTCAGTCCATGGTATCCTAAACACCCTTCTGTAGAACCATACTTCTGTTTCTTCTTATTAGTGATGAGATTGTCCAGCATTCACTGCCATATAGGGACTGATATTACATTCAACAGAAATTTGCTTTGTTTCTCATGTAATTTTCCTGTTTCTTAATACTTTGCTTTTTTTAATCACATGTTTGAAAACTTATCTTAGCCGACATATTTTGTCATATATATATATATATATATGATTTTACAGTAAGTATGAAATGGTTAATATTCAGCACTGAATCAAGTGCATTGACAAGGAATGATGATATTTTGAAAAATAAAAACTCTAAAAATGATCTTTCTTCAAATATTTTTTGTATTGTACAAGGGATGCTGAAAAATTCTTAATCTAACCCACTTCCCAAAATCTGTCCAATTGACTAACATCAGAATTTATTTTGAAATACCTTCTTGGTTGGGCTGAGAACTTTTCAGTACACCTTCAAACATAATGCTTAATAATTGTGTGTATAAAATTCCATGAAAAGTATGTAATTTAAATGTGTATAAAGATATATAATTTCACAAATTTAATATTAGTTAATTTGTTGGTTTTCACAGATCACTTAGTGGCACACGGTCGAATGAATGAGAAAGAAGCCCGGAAAAAATTCAAACAAATAGTTGCTGCTGTTTCTTACTGTCATAAGCATCATGTGGTCCACAGAGATTTAAAGGCAGAAAACCTGCTTCTAGATGCTAATCTAAACATTAAAATTGCTGGTCAGTCAATTTTTTTCTTCTATTGTGCTGATATTGTTTGCTTGAAAATATTTGAGAAAGATATTTATTGTAATATGCATAAATTAAGTGTAATAGCTTTCCTGATTTTTTTTTTTTTTAATCTAGTTTCAGAGCAAAGATGTTGACAAATTTTAAATTCAATGTCCAATGGAGTTGCTTTGTTCCTGTATTTGTAAGGTCATAATAAATTACGGTTTTAATTTTGAGTCCTTGTAATACTCTACAAATCAGGACATTATATACGATCACCGAAGTTAGACATTGCCATAGAAGGATAGACTACACAAACAAGAAATTCCAATTTAGCATTGACAAAACTAACATTTTGCTTGCAAAAATAGTCACCAAATGTTAAATTGAGCTCTACTAATGATGTCGATCAAATGCTGATCATTAATAAATTCTGCCCCTACACCAATCCAATAGAGCTTACATCCACATCATGTTGAAATACTGGTTCCCGTACGATCACCAGTTAAACAATGTCAAGCCTGGTCAGTACCTAGATGGGTGACTGCTTGGGAATACCCAGGTGCTGTAAGCTTGGATGTGTGGATGTTGTAATGGATAATGGTTTGAAATGTTAATCAAAGAGCCAAGTTCTAATTCCAGTTGAGTTCATTACATTCATTTATGTGCAAATACCCTTGCAAAAGGTATGAATCTGCCTCAGCCATAGGTTAATTAGTAAGACTTGTATTACTAAACCATTATTATCTCCAAAAATAAAACAGAATTGTGTACAAAATTTTTCGATTTCTGCATTAAATAACCCATAGAGGTTGATATGCTGCTAAACAAAAAAAAAAAAAAAATAGATATTATAAACAAGTTAAAATCCCATCATATTTCCTTGTACCAGACTTGACTTAATTCAAATTAGTGCTGACAAAATTATATAAAAGTAATGATTCTTATAATTAATGCATTTTATTACTAAGTGGCAAAATATCTGTAGTAAAAGACAGTGAGAGTAGAGATTATTATTTTTAAGCTTGTAACATTTTGGCTTATTTATTTTTACTGATTGAGAGTCAGTTACAAATAGAATGATTCAACAAGTTTTGTCTCTTAAATGAAATTGGTCTATATTGTGGTACCTCAAGTCATCCGTAGTACTTTCATCTTTAAATATAGTATTCCAATTTAAACATTAATAATTTTAGTGCAGAAGATAATCAGGAAATTATAAAGGAATTTAATTTGGCATCATTATTTTTTTTATTATTGATTGAGTTTGTTATAAATAAAATGCTTTAACATGTTTTGACCTTTGATTATTAAACTGACAAAATCAACACTCAAAATTGATAATTATCAACACAACCATTCTCTCTCAGTAACATTTACATATGCCTTTGTTTTGAATCTGTCTAGAAAACTATTCCAAAAGATTTGTTGACATACAGAACAGGCTCTCTTTTATAGGATAGGTTTGTATAAAAATACTGGTGTCAACAATTACTATGTAAATTAATTCTAGTCATTTATTTCATTAATGATGATCAAAATTAACAAATGTTTATTTTAAAGACTATGGAGAAAGCTGTTAACTTTTAGATTAACTACAATATAAGAGAGCAAGAGGTAGAGAGTTAGCAGAATAATCACTGATGTGGGAAATGGAATTTGTGAAGTTCCAATTTTAACCAAGGCATTAACTTCCCACTAATGCTCTTAGGAAAAGCATGAATTCCTCTGTCCTTAATGTCTTGGAAAGGCATTACCCTTGGTAGGACAACTAATCCAGAAGGATAACTCTAAATTCAAAATTAGTCTAAATAAATGATCAGCTCCATCAGGCTATCCTGCCTGAGACATAACTTTTGCTGTAGCCACACTACATGTGGTGACCTAACAACTTTGTAATGAGCTACAGGAAATTTTTTACTTAGGATCTTTTTACTTAGAATTTTTTACTTAGGATCTTTTTACTTAGTGTTGTCTATTTCCCATGAGTTGGTTAGTCTTTACAATTTTATTATTCATTTATACAGATGGTATTCATTTAAGTTAGTACAGTGGAATTAGTAAAGAATATCAAGTAAACTAATAGAAAACATGGAAACATATGATGTAAAGACATAAAAGATTTAAAAGCTTAAAATTCTAATCGTTAATGGATGTGTGGGTTGTGCATCTGTTATCCATGCAGAAAATTGGCAGAATGATTTCAAATTCCAACTAAAGCTGCTGCAATTACTTTACACTAATGCCCTTTGGAAAGACATGAATGCATTTTTTTCTCTCCCATAGCTATGAGTAAATAGCAGAGCATGACAATTAAATCGGAAACCACTCCATTATCTTTCCCAAGAAATCATGACTACCTTGGTTCTGAAAGGACATGGCATTAAAAAATATTTGTGTATTCAGTTAATACAAGTTTTCTATCTATATTGTTAATTCATTGAAAATTCTAGACAGTACTAAAAATTAATGAAAATTCTCTGATAGAAGACTTTAATAAGGTTACATTAATAATAATTATTAATAAGTTGAATGTTTTGTTGTTTCCCTCAGTACATGAATTAAAGTATTAGATATTCTGTATAAAGTTTCTTTAACTTTCATATATGACTTTTGACATATATATAAACATATTTTACATCTGTATATAAATTCAAATTAGAACCCATTCTTGGAATTCACTAATGAAAAGTTAGCAATTCTTTTAATACATTTTTTGTTTATAAATACACAATTTTTTTTTAATATATATCTCTTCCTTATCACAGCAGATAATGGTCAAAAGGTTTTAATATACAAGAAACTATTCTGCTATTATATAAAATCTTTTATCAAAATCAATGTTCTATAATATTTACAACTATGAATATATTGAAGACTTTTTAGTTTGTTACTGCTTGCATTATGCTTTAAGACTTAAATTATATCCTCTCTGATACATTAGGAAACTTGAACCACTGTATGTTATGTAAATTGTTAATTACATATGAAGAGATGATGAAAAAGTTTCAGCTCAACCCATTTTCAAAAATCTGACAAAATGAACACATATTTTTGAAAGGGTTCTTGGTCAGGCCAATAATTTGTCAGCATGTCCTCATATGTAATTAATAACTATTCATATATAGTGCATTCCAAAATTATATGCAAATTGAATTTCTTTAATCATCCTCTGGTTGACTGCATGTATTGTCACAAATTTTTAATAAACTAGCTGTCAGCACTGGCATGTACAACAGAGTTCAATATCAAGTGGTTCTTCACAGTAATCAATAACTGACAGCCATTTGGAGATATTATGTCTTTTCCACCATTCCAAATTAAATGCAAATTAGTCTGTAAACCATTCTTGTACAACAATGAAAAGGCAAAAATTGTTTAAATGCATCACCTTTGAATAAATTCTGAATTTTTCATAGATACTAGACTACTTGAAGTCATTAGAAAAAATTAAGATTATATCAGAAAATAGTATTACTTTTCTACTGTGTTATTATTTGGCCAAGCTTGTAATACTCAGACTCATATGTTGTTCTTTTGAATGAGTCAGTGTAATACTGATAACAGAGAAAGAAAAATGCCCTCAAAGTCAGAATGAATACATTGGAGAACTTTTACACAACAAAAGAGGAAAAACTGCAATGCACAAAAATATGGATGAACTAGAAGTCTGAAATGAAATCAACACTGGCCAAATTGAACAGGAAAAAAGCAGCAGGAACAGATGAATTTGTAATAGAGATGTTAGCAGCCTTATCTGATTTCAGCATTGACAAAATTACAGATGTAATAAATAAAATATATAACAGTCATGATATGCTTGAGAATCTAAGTAGATTCATTTTCATAGCACTACCTAAGAAGCAAATGAATGTAAACTCCATCAGACAATCAGACTAATAAGCCCTGTAACAAAACTTATTTGAATTCTAATGAATAGAGCACATAGCAGAATTAAACTGGAAATAAAAAGAACAGTTCAGTTTCATTAAAGACACTGGAACGGGAAATACTATATTTATGCTCAGAATGATATCAGAAAGAGCTATGCTAAAGCATTTGATAAAATATGCCAAGAAGGACTGTTGGAAATACTAGGTAAACTTGATTTATTTAGAAAAGATTAGAATAATCCAGAACCTATACAGGAAGCAAACCACCTGCATCTGAATAGAAAAAAAAAAAAAAAAGAAAGGAGTGTAAGACAAGGATGTATCTTCTCACCAGACTTATTCTTTACATTGAAGCAGTCCTCAGGGAATTAGTAATCCTCTAGGATTCATTATTAGTGGCCATAATTTTAACAATATACGATATGCAGATGACATATTGTTGATAGCAGATACAGAAGGAAAACTACAGGAACTCCTAGAGAAGGTAGTAAAGGAAAGCAAGAAGAAAGGACTAAACATCAGTTGTAAGAATACAGAATGTATGGTTGTCAGCAAAAAGCCCAACTTGTGAATTACAAATTAGAGATGTCAAAATCAAACAAGTACAAACATTTAATTATCTAAGAAGTGTTTTAACACGGCTCCCACACAACCTTCCAGTGGGTCATTTTCTAATTTCTTTTCTATGTGGATTATTGGGAGTGGGATGCTATGATTGATTGCTTATGAGATCATGGTACACCCAAACCACATTTTTTTCCCAAAACAAATTTTAATATTTTTGAATATAGAAATGAGAATTAGTGTCAATGTAATACATGTACATTGGGAATTTTCTGATGACACACCAGTGGGTTGTGGGTAATAAATACTACCTATGATATACTTGCCTCATATATGAAACAATGTTAAAATAAAGTTGTTTGTACCCAAATTAATTAAGATATAGTGTTGGTACCCTGAGACAACAAGGGAAATGAGCTTTAGGAGCCAACATGTTAACAGAAGACAGAAAATTTGACACTGAAATCTGAAAGCTCATTGGAAATGCAAAAGATATCTTTTTTTTTCTCTCTCTCTCTCAATCATTTCATTCCAAGGAAGGTGATATTGACACTAGAATACAGGGGTTACAGGAAGTGAAAGAGAAGACTGAAAATGAGAAGGATTGAGGAAAGGATAAAACAGAAACAAGGTTCAAAAAGACAGTAGATGGCAATTGTAGTTAACACTTTCACTGCTACTCATTTGCCCAGTGCTGCCCCCATCCGGCCAGCCATTTTTAAAGAAAATGCCAAATTTCAACCTCCATATTTTATTACACAGAAAACTGGCACCAGTGTGTTTTACAGCATTCCATTTTCATAGATATACCTGGGAATGACTTACCAGATCAATAATTGGTATACACATGATATCTTTTGAAGCATTGTCCTTTGTGATTTGATGATAGATGGCGCAATGGGACACTCATACCAGCGGTATGCAAAATACATAGGTTTCCATACTTAGCCAGCTGGAGCAAGATAAGAAAAACAAAGATCTCCGTAGTTAGCAGCAGAAGTGTTAACAGCAGAAGGGAATCCCACAGATGGAACATGCAAGAAAAGAAACTGTTAGAGTAAAAGTGGTAATTGTGTCTAGCTAATTCAACAGTAAAACAGTGATATCTAGTAGTT